TGCGAATCGTGTGAGCGACTACAACTGTCGTTTCTTATGGACACTTAGCATCCTCCTATTCGCCGCCGCGCCTACATGTAAGCCTGCGTCCACCAAACATCTAGCCACCATGTATGTAATGTTGTAATCACACAACTTTTGCACCCTCCCATCCCCAATTGAAGAGAGTTTCTTTGTCCAGATTTCGCAAGTTGTATTGTTGTGGTAGGCATGTACATATACAAACAACCAACGGGGTATACAATGGATTTCGAGCCGACGAGGGGAGAGAAGGGAAGAGAGGACGGCACGCATCGTCACCCTCCCAGATCTCGTGAATGCGCCAGCACGACGGCGTAGACAACTGTCAGGCGTGCCCGAGACGGTGGCGCGTGTGGAATGCTTACACCACCATCCTGGAACTGTGAGGCGGCTACCGCGGACACGAGACGTCGGCCTTCCCAGGTCGAATGGAACTGACGGAACCTGAAATCCCGTAAAACACAAGTCATGACTTGAATTTCAGCAGTGACCACAGATTCCGACCGGTCGAAACTCGGAGTGGATTATGAAACTACACTAATAGGCTTTATCCAGATGTGGAGTACAAGGAGGAACCACTGTGGACAATCACCATGCCATCCAGCCTGCAATGCGCATGTCCATTGAATGGAATGCGCTTCGATTCCATGACGACAAAGAAGTACAATCATGGGATTGCAACGTTATACAGAGTCCCATTCACGAAACAACTGTTGTTGTTGCTGTTTCTATTCCCAATGCCCTGGAGGCTAACCCCCTGATGCGCGGTGGCCGTCCAACCTAAAACCACGGATTTCTCGGTGTGAACCAGCCCTGTCTGCAATTTGTGCACTTTCATCACGTACCTTTCCACCCCGTAGCACCACGGACGCCTAGCGGTTGTGTGGACAGACTCTTTTGTCGTAGTCTTCCATCCTTACCGCTCGCACATCACCAGTTTGCTCGAGTAGTGATGGCGAATTTCGGTGCTGTAGGACCTCCTGAAGAAAGGCCGCAGCTGAGTCGGCGAAGCCGAAAAACCGACCCACCCCGTTGGAGTCGCTGGCCTGGGTGGGAGGGTCTGCCTCACGCCGGTTGTTTGAGGCATCCCTGAAGAGGGGCGGGAAGCCTCTATGGGCGTCTCTGTAGGTGAGGAAAGCAGGTACCTCAGGAAGGTTGGAACCTTCTTCTGAGTTCGTGTCCGTCAGCTCAATTGCTTCGCCGGCATAGCCCACGAAATCAGACACTGTAGGGAGGGGTGGTGGCGGTGTCGGCGACGGTGGTGGAGGCG